AAAATTGTCAAGAATGAAATTTCAGCTGATTTACACAAAGTCTATGCTTTAGATGTAATAAAATAGCATCTGCTTCAATGTATAGAAATATGTAATTATCAAGACCAAAGTTCAGTTGATATAGATTTTTTTATGTGATGAGCTGAAGAATTAAAGTTTAATGAAAAGTTTTACATGATATAAATGAATTATACGGCAAACTGTCTATTATTAAACTGTAAACATGTAAAAATATTTACACTTAATTCCACATGGGCTATTTGGCATTGAACAGTTTATATTAAAAATATCTTGGGGCTGGGGATTTAGCTCAGCGGCAAAAGCGCCTGCCTGGCATGCACAAGGTCGTGAGTTCGGTTCCCAGTACCAGAGAAAAAAACAAACAAACAAACAAAAATAAAATAAAATAAAAAAAATCTTCTTTAAAATTTCTAGACTGTAGTGCATATTATATTTCAAATTGTACATTTTGTTCCTTCTCTATGTACCAGACTATGAAACTATGTTTGTAAATATATGTCATCATAATTAGACCATTTATGTCAATAAGACTGTGCATCAATTTTTATTACTCTTTGAAAATTTTATTGAAAAAAAATTACATTCACTTTCATGTCTGAGAAAAGCAGAGAACTCTCAATTATTTTTCAGCTAGTTTCTTCTAGGATTGTCTGGTATAACAAGGTTTTACATGTAACTCATAGTTCTTTTCCTGGCCTCAGTTATTTACTGATGAAAAGGAAACCATCAGAAATCCCAGTGGTATACAACGATTAGTACTTTTACCAAGGACCTGATGGAAGTCGCTCTGCTGTTCTCAGTTGAGTTACTTGGGATTGGAGAATGACTAACTTCATTTCAATTCAATACCTGACAGAATATGGTAGTGTGGTAAATATAGGAACTTACAAGCAAAGATTGATTTCTATAGTTTTTGCTGGATAATCCGTATTAAAAAAATTTCACATACTTGTAAAGTCAAACATTAATTAGCTTCTTAATTTTAGTCTACAACTTTTTTTGGCTAGGGTCTCCCCACGCTGTTGTAGCTGGCCCTGAACACACTATGCAGCCTATGCTGGACTTGCGCTCATGGCTGTTCTCCTGTCTCAGCCTCCCATGTGCTGGGATTACAGGCCTCTACCACCATGGCTGGCTTCTAGCCTGACTGTTCTAATTCTATCTGTGCTAAAGTGTAATATTCCTTAAAATTATGTGCTCATATCTTATTTTCAAATACCTATAGGTAGTGCATTTCTCAATATTTCATTGTCAACAACCATAGAGGTGGTATTTTAGTGGTTCTGTCATGGACATCACTGTCTTTCTTCCCTGACTCGGGCACTACGGGAGCAGATGCAGGAATTCCATGTGGTGAGTGTAAAATCCTAGTGCTGTAACTCATAGCAGTATACTGAGGAAGAAGAGAAGTGTCTACAGCAAAATCTTGGCATCAAACACACCCAAATTTTCCAAAACCCCATGTCAAAATTTCATATGAAGTTTATAAGTTTAGATGCAAGAATATGTAAAATATAATATTAAATATATTCCTATGTAAATACATGGGCAAGCATATAAACAAAGTGAAAAGAAAAACAAAAGCACACTGACTAATTTTATAGGAAAGTTGTAGAAATAAATATGACTGCGTTGCTGCTTTGTTATCAGAAGTACAAGGTCTACAGCGGGCTAAGATTTTTTTCAGATATGAAGATCAACATATTCCTGCTTTTCATGAGGTTACACTCTAAATAACAGAAGAAGAGGTTTCCTCTAATTATAATGTTAATGGCTCATAACAGCTAGCTCAGGATTCTCTGGGGTTTGTGTCCCTGAAGTCAGGCAGGTAAAAGTAAAGCAACCTTATGATAGAATATAATCAATGTCTCTCTCTACCTCAAGGTATCTCTGTGCTTCCTCCAACATATTTTGACACCTAGAATATTATTATTTTTTGGTTCTCTTATCTAATGTTATCTTGCAAGAGTTACCCAGTGGGAAAATTTATAAGTACATTTTAATTTTGAAGGAGATTGTGCCCACAGTTTATTAAAACTGCAAAGAAGTAACTGATAGACAATATTGATCAAGAAAACCTGAAGCTGGGTAAGTAGCTCCAAAGTTGGCCGCCTTCTCATCTGCTATGAGATATGTTGACATCTAAGGTATTTGGGAGGGAAAAATTTGTGAGCTAAGATAGATATGTCACTTTAGTTGATCTATGGTGCAAATTCAAGGCACTATACTTTCCTCATTTATTGATCATTTTACTAAGTTTCAAACTATATCCTCGTGCTTTGTAAGATAAATTAGGGGTCTTCAATGAAATTCTAATTGTAAACATTTGTACTCAGGCAATTAATGAGTTCATGAAATCTAGAACTCATATGTACATGAATGGGCATATAAAGATAGTAAATATTGCAGAAATTTTATAAATTGTGGAGAAATTAACTGTGAGGAAAATACAGCAGGAGAAAAATAGTGATTTGAATTCATATCACTTCATATGAATCATATATAAACATTAAACACAGTGATATTGGGGTATGTGATTGTTTAACAGCATAATATTAAGTCAAATTTTTGATGGGACCAGTTAAAAATGCTCTTAAGTGGATGTTTTGAGACTTTGATACTGGACTACACATTAGAATGGGTAAAAATCCAGTGTATCACTAAAGAATATTACATGTCTGACAATACATACTTCCTAACTCAAATTATTGCAATTTTATGAATATTTGCAATTTAAATTCATTTAAAGGGCCAGGGAGATAGCTCAGCAGCACAGCTCCTGCCTGGCAAGTGCAAAGTCCTCAGTTCAATCCCAGTACCAAATAAATAAATAAATAAATAAACAAATAAATAAATAAATTCATTTAATATTCCCAAGGACTCCTCTGACATAATCGATCATATGACCTGGGCAACACTTGTCTGAGTTTTCTGTGTCTCCATTTCTGTTATTTTATTAGGGAGTACTCTGAGTATCAGATATCTTTCCATATAATTTACATGTGATATCAATATTGATAAGTACTACTGTTTTATCCCAGATAAGAAAAGTACAGAGTATGGAAGGACTCCGTTACTGTCTACCATCACTTGTCAATAAGTGGCCATGCAGCGCTCCAGAGAGAAGGAGAACACCAGTGACAGGAAGGTAACCACCTC